AGATCAATTTCAGAAATTTTTGAGAAAAAAACAGGAAATTCTCTTATTTTGCAAAGTCGCAAATTTGCCAGATTAAACTCAGAATTTCTGAGATTAATTCCCGAAATTTGAGAAAACAAACAGGGAATTCTCCTATTTTGAAAAGTCGCAAATTTGTGAGAAAAAAACTCAGCAATTTCCACAAGTAAAGGCAGAAATTTGCGACATTTAAACTAGATATTTTCTGACATGGTAAAGTCAGAAATTTACAAGAAAAAAAATTGTAAATTTATGAGAAAATATCTCTGAAGTTACAGAACATTTCTTCAATAAATACTAATAGACATTAGTTTTGAATTCTGTCTCGGACTAAACGTTAGCTCTTCAATCGTATTGGACATAATTATAGTCTTCAGTGGACATACAAACTCCTCCAAACTTGGTGGGMTCCAAATTGATTCTAAACAGTTGGAATGTCCCTTTAAGAGTGACTCAGGATCAGCTCTGGTTTTCATGCATTTGACAAGTTTTTTAGCTAAAACGCTGCTAATAACAGTGACCTTAGAGATGGATCCAGATGACTGGGAGCTCTGCTTCAGTTACCGCAGCAATAGAGTTCAGTCCATTACCATTCCTCCCACCATCCTGGTCTCCACGGTCACGGTCTGCCAGGAACTGAACTGAGTGGAGCCAGGTCAGGGGGGTGGGCAGGAATAATAAAGGCTGAGGGGGCACATGAGGGGAAGGAGTTTAGCAAGCACACAAAGGACACGAGAAAAGTTGTTCGGCTTCAGAGAAAATGAGATATTTCAGGAAATGCAGATAGTTTTTCATTCGTCAATAAACTAATTATTAATTGAATCTCAGGATGATAGTTTTATTACATCAACATAAATGATTTTAAGAGACATTCCAAGACAAAAAACTGTTAACAAAAACACAAAATTTTTTTTACATTTGTTCTTTTATTCTTTTATATTCATGTCAGGGAAATCAGATTTGCAGTTTTTTGCAGTTTGGACCTGAGTTGAAGCAGTACAACATTTAAAAAAAAGTTGTGTGAAGCTTTAAGAAAAGCTCCACTCATCATTTAGTGAGGAAAGCAAAAGGGACAAAAGAGGGCTGATGGAGAGGAGGAGAGGGCCGAATTCTTCAGCTGGAGGCTGAGAAACGAGAGGATTTTCTACAAAAAGACGTGGGGTCTGTGTGTGTGTGTGTGTGTGTGTGTG